GACCAAACGAACTATCCGTAATAGAGAGAGGTCCGTTTTACAAAGGCGTCAGTTAGGAGAGGTTAGACTGTAACGAACATCTTTTTTCCCGGTAAGCAGGGCATATATTTAGAAAATGGCATTCGTCCTCCATTTCTATTTTACAAATTGAGCAAATTCTTCCTTCAGGTTTCATAAACGGGCATGAACTTTAGAAAATCGAGGAAATTCACCAGTGACACATATCGCACCATGTAAGAAAATCCAAGAAAGTCTTGGATTCTGGACTCCACGTCGTGGATTCCGGATACTTTGTCAGTAAAACTTGGATTAAGGACTCCAGTCTAGTGTTGTCGATAATTATTGACAATAGAGTACTAAAGTGATGACGTCATAAAAATGAAATTTCTGAAATTATGGGATTTGTCAGGATATTCTGAAAAAACAATGTCCAAGGGGCCTACTTGCCAAAAATGAGCATTTCCGGGCAAATTGTCTCTGAGGTCGTAGCCTAGTTATGCTTAGAAAACTCCATACAAACCCTTGCTAATTCCGACAAAAAAAACAGCACTCTCAATATCGGCTTTAATTTGTCATGTGCCGCCAATATTGCTTCCATTAGATTATAATGTTCATTTTCTGCTCTCCTCTTCAGCACTTTAGCCCAGTAATCTCCGTCAGTCTTTTGACAGCAATAAGCATCGATCGTTACCTGACATTTGTAAAGCAAGAGCTATCTTGCACTCAAAGACCTTGGTACTTGAGACCGACGTGGTTGATCGCCTTCGCTTGGGTCTATGGTATAGCCCAGACTATTCCCGTGTTCTTTTCAACAAACGTCATTCAGATTGATTATGAAAACAGCTCCATCTTCTACTGCACTACTACACAAGGCAATAAACCTTTTGGAAAGATCTACCTAATTGCTTCGGTGTTTTTCGGGTTTGTGATACCCTTAATGGTATTAACCACTTCATACTTTAAAGTAATAAGAACAATATGGACAAGGAATACCAGGCTTTCGTTCTCTGTTGACGATAGTGGATCTGATGCTAATGAAATTGCAAATGCTGAGCTTCTGAAAAGAATTCGACTAAGGGTCGTTCGTGTTTTGGTAATTGTTGTTATATGTTACGTAGCATGCTGGCTGCCATTTGCCATCTACCATGGTTTTTTGGAGCAATACCTCAAGGAAGCTCCCAACCCTATGGATGCGGTTCGCCTCATAACCTACGGCCTGGGCATAATGAACTCAATTTGCAACCCTTTCATTTACTTTTTTAACGTTGGCGGGAAGTCCTTCCGCTCGATGTATCAAAGATTTCTGGAGGTAATGGGAGGCAGAGCCAGATCGCCAATGCCACCCTTTGATTTGGTAGATCGCCACTAAACCAACACGGCACAAGACTTTTGGTGATAATTACGATCATTACCCCACATCGAAGGTGGTACAGCTCCATTGTTTCGGATCGGGTCAAATACGAAAGGGCCACCCACCTGTGTGGCCTCAGACAAGATAGTGTAAAAACTTGCAGATACAAGTGATCCTCCAATCTTAATTGGAATGTAATTGTAAACTAAGACGATTGTCTAATCTCAGTTGATTAGAGACAGATATAGATTAAATGAAAAGAAATACTCGTACTACTTCTTATGTTATCGGAGCCGTACGGATGAACATAATTATTGCGGGCGACAAGAGGAGCCCGCAATCCTAATCTCCAGACAGCATTCGTTTGGACTTCCACTAAAAATGAATGGAATGCACAGAACGCAATTTGATCACCCGCGTTTGGATTTGCTATCACTCGTAATATGATCACGGGTGTTTTGACTATCTGTCGCGTGAAACTTACGCAAAGCACAGCGATGGAGCAAAATCGCTTCGTTGTCGCCCGCACTCCGTAACCTATGGTTATTACTAGTTTATAAGTTAATAATTTATGAGCCTTTAGTTTAGATATGAGCAAGATTGTTTTATCAAGTTTAAAGAACGAGGCCAAGTTTCTGAAAACTGATTCAGAGGGTTTTTGGTTGTATGGTTTATTTTCGGAACTCTGTAAAAAAAATCTTTTTTAGAATCTCAGTCGTGTTGAATTTATTCTAAGACTCTCATTTAGCTTTGTAGTTTAGTTTACGAAATGTGAATGAGTATTAGCTAGGATTTGTATATAAAAACTGTTTAAACCACTTTAATCAGGAGAGGAGAAGTCGTTACATCACGTGGCTATAGTAGCAAAATTTTTGGATGACAACAAACCGAAAACATTACTTCAAAAGTTAATTCGCAATGTTTCAAACTTCGACGATCTTATTCAGTTTCATTTAATTTGTCAAATGTTGCGAAATTTTCTGGGGTTAAATCCGAAAGGACCGTGTCTAAGGTTAAAAAAAGAGAAAGACAATTTTTGCGTTGTGCTGGCCTACTTCGTATAAAAGTGGGGCGTGTAATTGGCAAGTTTCACATCGCAAAAAAGCGTGATGCACGTGTACAGTTGTTGTTTTTCCGATATAAACCTATCACTTTTTTCCAGTTCTCTTCGCTTCGCCGGCGTCGCGGCTAACCGTATTTAATCAATTAAATTAAACGCCGCCCTCGATTAAACACCACAAATAGAAGCAAAATTACTAACGCCGCCCTTGAATAAGCGCAGCACCTCAGTAATCAGAAGAATGCGGCTGTTACTCTAGGATAATAAGAAAACCCCGGTACAACTTGGTAATTTACACCATTTAGACATTTACGATTCGATTCTATCTCAGCAAAATAAGGGAGACATTGGAACCTTTAAATTTCATTACATTCACAAACGGTTTACGATAACTGTTGTCAGTGATTTTAAAAAAAAGTGGTTTCGAAATAAACGCCGCCCTTGAATAAACGCCGCATTGGAAACGCTAAAGTTTTAATAAAGGCCGCGGCGTTTAATCGAATAAATACGTTAAGCTCCCTGTTGGTGTGATCCAGAGATTTTGCTACCATGGTAACGTGACGCCACACTTCTCCTTTATTTTGCCATTACTTTTTACTGCCGACAAAAACGCTAATCGTTATAGCCAAGATTGGATCCGGGCGAAGTTTTTTTAAGCCTCAATAATTTCTTCAGGTTATTGCAATAAAGGAATTTAGCTTTTCTTATCAAAGTGGTGAGTTTATAAACCTGCGCTCTCTATATTTGCTACAAGTACACCATCCTCTCAATTAATAAAAACATAGAAAAGTATTTTGTCTTTATCTCTTTCATTTGGTAAGGATAGTTGGATAGTGAAATTAAATGCTGGAAACAGACACATTGAATTGGGAGTTTGGGTTACGATTGCTAACACAATCGAAAGGAGATCTATTAACGCGCGGATAAGTCATAAGTACTGGCGCGGGTCTGCGGGGTAAGGTAATCCAAGACAGTCTTAATTGGATTCTGGATTGCATACTCGATCCGGGGTCCTTGTCAGTAGAACTTGGATTTCGGATTTCAATTGTTAGTGGGATTCCTGATTCCTAGATCTAAATTCTGATTCCTAAGCACAGGAAATCGGATTCCACAAGTAAAAATTTCCTTGATTTCAGAATCGGGAAATACCTTACACTGCCGCATAGGAGGCTGAGTGCAGTAGTCTTCACGTCCATAGCGGACGAAACTGGAGACGCGTCGCACCCAGGCTAATAGATATCGCGAAAGTACTGGTAACTCGGTTTCGAGCCCGAAATAAAAATGTATAGAATACTGAGCGCCGGTCCTTGCAAAAACAACCGGTCCATTTTGTGCAATTTGTTTTGCAGATTGATACTTTTCGCAAGCTATTTGCCACACTGTTGAAACCTCTACATTGATTGCGACCAACAACAGCTCGAGGAACGGGCTCCCAGATCAGGTCAAATTTGGAGACAACCAGTTGCCCGGGTAACCAGATATGACGTCATAAGTGCTATTGTGGTACACCCTTTTTTCATGAACAAAAAAATGGTAATGGCCTCATCTTATTTCAAACGGCTGTTTTAGAAACTACTTTTATTACAACCTAGTTTAGGTTGGGCTTCTAGGATAGCTCTGGCTAAAAGCCGTTAAGGGCCTCATTTTTTTAATGCAAAACTTATTTTGTATTATTTTCATCAAACTACTATTATCTGCTGCTGAGATGCGCTTTAACTTCATCAAGTAATTTTCCTCTACACACCAAATATTTTATTACATATTACAAATATTGTATTTTAAAAAACAATTAAAACGTAATATCGGAAATTCCAGTTTCATCAAAACATCTACTGTCGAGTTGTTATGGCTTTTTCGGTCATAATTGTTTTTTGCAATACTTGTATTGTTATGACACGCTATTTAGCACCCACTAATATAAGTACATATCTCTTTAGTTTCTTTTAGTATGTGAGATGTGATTTTTATCTTAAAAGGCTTTTTTCTGAACGTTTTGACAACTTGATGACATTATTTTCAGTTCCATCTTCACATAAATCTAACGATGTCATTTTTCAGACAAAGCACCGAGATGGAGCGAAATGTTGTACTTTTTTTTTTCAAATTACTCGTTAGGTTCACCGTATGTTTCTTTTTTTACCATTTCAAATTAGTGATTCAGTAGGTTTTTCAGTTTGGCGTCGACCGCCGTCATATTGTAAACACTCCCTCGTTTCTTGGTAACATTCGTTAAAATACGGGTTTCACTAGCAGTCTGGCGTTGTATATCATGTTTATCTAAATTGCCGTGAATTACTGCTTTTTCAAAACGATTTCTCCCAGTTTATAAAACAACCTTAGCTTAAATCCTAAAAACAGCTAACACTCACCAAAATAGACTTCCTGCTAGGCAGAGAAGCGAGAGCATAACTGTTTCTATAAATGAATTAAAATGCAATTTTCCTAATTGGCTAATTCGTTCCCGTATAATTGAAATCCGACTACTCCCCTTGGATGACGTCAGGAGCTCGTAGAGCATGGAACCGTAAAGCCACAAGATAATCACGCGACGTGATAGAAAAATTTTAATTTTATGTTTTATAGCTGGTTCAGTTTAAAAATCGAATTCATTGTTTGTTTTTCGCACACACTTCCAAGCAACCCGCTGCATGCAGCGAGAAAGTCAAACACGGATAGCCAATGACTGCAAATGGACAGGACGAACCGGAATCATAACTGATTAAATATTCCATCTTGATATTATTCCATTTGCCTAAAACAGTGATGAACTGTCAAAGAACTGTCAGTTGCGTTGCTGTCGCTTTCGGTTTCCAACGAAACCAGATTTATGTCCCCGGCATTTTAAGGTGAGCATCTTAGCAAAAAATGCGGCGTGACCATGAGGTAGGAACCGTCAAGCTGTGGAATGCCCAGAGTAAAGCATTTGCAATAGCAGTTGCATTACTAGGTAAGCTATGGTTAATGACTTATAGCTTGTAGCACTGATCATGAAATGCTTTTTTCGCGTCGACATGTAAGGTACTATTAACTATAACACTCAAAACTTGTGTGAGCCTCTTGCTGAGACACAATTCCAACAGCTCTATGTTGCGTGGTATACAGCTTCCACCTTCTAGATAAAATCCATTTTTCTTTGTACACTAGCTGGAAACGTTTAAAAGTTAATTGCCCACTTTTAATTCATTACGAGGTTTGTAATGATAAAAATGCTGTGTGGTTCGCTCTTGATTTTGCCTAGTCTATAAAAAGAACATTAATGAAAAATTTCATAACTTTAATTTTTTTTCGTTCTAAATTAATTTAAAGACATCTATGACGTTTACGTACAATGGGTGGATTACACTTTTTCTGTTGAGATAAATTTGTTAATAAATCCCTCACTCTTCGTACACTCTCAATCGTGCCGGTATTACATAACACAAAAACCGCCCAAATTGCCATTGTACTCATAAAATTAAAAAACCTAACTCACTGATTGTGCGAACACAACTTACGTTAATTAGCTAGGTTCTACATAATTCATAAATTCATTTTTCCCACAATATGCTAAGTCTAGAGTTTCCTTTTCTCTTCGCTAATGTCTGTTTGCACCTATGATTTCGTTATGTCGGATCAAAATTTTATTTTAACGTTTTTAGTATTGGCATTGCGGGTTATTGCTCGTTTCAGTTATGTTGTTGTAAGCCGATGAAATGAGAGATGACTTGGCAATATAACTTCCGCAACAGACCATGAATTGTGACGATGTAGAGGCAAGAAAAGTGTCTCATTTCCCATCGCCTTCCCCTCAGGGTCTGGAAGAAGGGCCCTAATCCTACATTTCCCCTTCTTTTTTGACGACTGATTCCGCATCCCGAATTTCTGTCATCCCTATCCAAAATACCGGTTTGTTTGCCAATACCGTATCCCGAGCCAAAACTTTGGCGAATCCTTCTTCCAGGCTAGCGGTCAATTCCCGTATCCCGTCAAAAAAATTTTGTTTTTTCCCCGAATTCTGCACAGTATTTTGGTCAAATCCAGTATCCCGAAAAGACTCTTCCAGACGAAAAAATGGGTCGCTCAGTCACAAAACCATGCAGCCTGGTATAAAAAAATCTCTTCTGTAAAGAAATGATGATTAAAAAAATAAAGATTCTTGCCAGTTTTCTTTTTTTGTTTCCTAAAAATAAGGGGGTTTGTCTCCGATAAGAAAAGAAATATTTCAGTAATGAACACTGCCAAATGAAACCGAAGTGTAAATCTGCTGAGAAAAAATATCAACATCATATCATGTAAGGGAATCCGGACTCCGGGCTCCTGGAAATTTTAATCTGGAATCCTGGGTTTTGTATATTTCTATAGCATGATTTGTAGCAATATTTGGCATAAACACCACTAGTGATATTTCGAAATTGTTATACGTAATTTCAAGAGCCGTTGGGCGAGTGAAATTTGAAAAACTTTTCACGAGTGGTTAGGCGAGTGAAATTTGAGACAATTTTGAAATATCACAAGTGGCATTTATGCCAAATATCACGTACAAATCATGCCATTATTTGTTTATACTACTACCCGCAAAGGTTTTGTAATTTTCACATGTAAGTTTTTCAAATTAGGCTGAAATACCACTGCTCTAAGCCAATCAAATTGCAGAAATTTCTCATATAGTAGTATAAGAAATCCGGAATACAGTTCTAGGAATCGGAAATCCCACCAACCGAAAGCTGGAATCCGGAATCCAAGTTCCACTGGCAAAAAATCAGGAATCCGGTACCTGAGAAACGGAATCCACGGCGTGGAATCCAGAATGCAAGACTGTCTTGGGTTCCTTTGCATGAGGCAAAAAATATCAGAAGAGAACTAGAGACACAACTTTTGGGAGTGACTTTGTAGAGGCTGGCAAACAGTGAAAAAGGCCAACAGAGCAACTAAATGAAAAGTGACCGTTTCTTTTTCAGGACTAATTCTGATCATTGGGGTTATCGGTAATGGGGTTGTGGCAGCAGTTATCACTGCTTTACGTCGGCGAGGCCACAAAAACTCTGTTCAGCTGTTTCTTCTCCACTTAGCAATCTCGGATCTAATGGTGTGCCTGCTGTGTATTCCGCTGACCATTTTCACCAATTTTTTCTACCCTCAAGAATATCTCAAGGACCGTGAGGGCCTCTGCAAGCTGTCGAGGTTTATGCAGGTAAGGAAGGAAGGAGGTTTTACAGTAACCTTATGTTACCAAGTCACTTGATAATCAGAATTCGAAGTTGTTGTTTTTGTTTTCAAATTTTCAAGTGATGAACTAGAGAGGGCAAGGGGTCGGGGTGGGGGAAGACGCGGACAGTAAGGGAGACCTAGACTACAAGTAGTCTCCCATTTTTCCTCAGGGATAGTAAAGCGAGCGAAACGCGAGCGCGCGTGAAAATCACCCCACGCGAGCAAAGGCGACACGCGGCGGGGAGAGACAAAAATGAGAGACTACAGACAAAGCCCAAGTATCTGGTTTTATTGGATGCCGCTTGATTGATTTTGTTCTTAAGCCAGCTCTACTAAATAAGCAGTAACGCTCTAAATGATACTATTTAATAGAGTAAGTTTTTGAGACGAAACTAAAAATAGGTTTATAAAAAGAGTTATTAATGACGGTTGTTTTTTACATTCTTTGCAGCATCTGGGCCCAGTCATCTCTGTGAGTCTTCTCACAGCAATAAGTATCGATCGGTACCTAACATTTGTAAAGCAAGAGCTATCTTGCAGTCAAAGATCGTGGTACTTGAGACCATCCTGGTTGATTCTTTTTGCCTGGGTTTACGGAACAGCTCAAACTCTCCCTGTTTTTCACTCAGCCGATGTCGTTCCAATTGATTTTAAAAACAGCACTATCTACTACTGCACTACTACCCAAGGTCATTCACTGTCGAGAAGGATATACCTGGCCACCTCAGTATTACTTGGATTTATTATCCCCTTGGCAACGATGTCCGTCTCATATTATCGTGTGATAAGAGTAGTATGGACCAGAAATCGTAGACTATCGACCGCCGGGTCTCCTACATCGAATGCAACAATTACGAACGAAAATCTCTTGCTGCGCTCGAGGAAGAGAGTTCTTCGCGTTTTGTTAATTGTCGTGGTTTGTTTTGTAATTTGCTGGCTCCCGTTTGCCGTTTACCACGGAATCTTAGAGCAACACCTCAAGAAATCACCAAATCCTATGGACACAGTACGACTCATTGCATACGGATTGGGGCTTGCAAACTCGATCTGCAACCCTTTCATCTATTATTTTAACGTTGGCGGGAAGTCATTTTGCTCCATGAAAAGAAGCTTCCTCGAGGTAATGGGAGGTAAAATATCACCACCACGGGGTGTGGAAACGAACGCTCCCATTTCAAGGTCGGCGCATGCGAACCCAGGACCTGCGCTGCAATTAGGATTTCATTCAACTAGCAACGCGCAGAATTATGATCATCATAAACAGACATATACAGCTTATAATAATTCAAACGGACGCAAGTTTTCTGAGAATGCTCTTGGTTTACAAAGAGACACTTTGGAGGATACTAAGTTGTGATTGGTAATGCTGCGCGGTCGTAGGATCAGACTGTATTCGCCACCATTCCGAGTAAACTTTCGCAAAGACTGTAGGAGAGTCAGGGAAAAAAAATTGGCCAATAGCTGACCGGCGGGTCCCCAGTGCGATCCCAGAAACAATTGCGGCACGTATTTCGGTCCCAGTTCTTAACTCGTCTCTAAAGCGGCGTATGAGGGACAAAAAAGAAAATCATTTTACTAGGGGCGGATGTCACTTATGATTTGGCTTTACTTTCTGGTCGAACTTCGGCTACTCTCAGAAAATGTTTGATAACTGTAGCTTAACCCTTTGAAATGAAATTATGAACTTCGCAGTTGTTATAGTAATTTAAGCAATTGCAAATTAACCCGAAAAAACTTTTCAGGGCTTCAGCGGGATTCGGGATTTCAGTGGTTAAACTCATTAAATACCCTTGGTATCTGAGGATTTGATTCTCGCGTGCAGCCTGATGCTTCAGTTCAGGGTTCAATGTCCTATTTTCACTTCCAAGAAGAGGTTCGGGTGTATGAATTAGGCGACGACTTTCGCAGTACGTTATATTATAATGTTCATACTACGAGTCAAACAATTTTTTATCATATGATTTATTAATGAAAAGGTCACGAAATACACATTAAATTATTCTGTACACATCATTCACATTATACGATCTTTCTCTCTTTTAGTCCTTTCATCACAGTACCAATACGCACCTGCTGATCTTACCTGCATACAGAATCCCAAACCTTCGAAACACTGTGTATTCTTACTGTACAACGGTACAATGGTAAAGCTTGTCGGAACAAACCAGCTCGACCTTTTAACCAGTTCGGGAGTATGCCAGTTTTGGAAGAAGCGAAAACGTCTACGTCAACTGTCTTAGAATAACAATACCTAATTTCCCGCTTTTCAAAAACAGCAGCAATGAATTGCTTCAACTCGAGCTTCACCCTTCAATCGATACCCACGTAAGTGATGCATAAGAAAGAATGTGAAAGAAACTGAACTTAATCTTCAATCTGAAGTCTTGATTTCACATTTCAAAAGGCATGCCACTAAGGTAAAAGTGAACAAAAGGACTGGCATTATGAAAAAAGGGACTGAAAAAAAAAAAAAAAAAATTGGAGGATAGGGCACAGGGGATACGGGACCTTCTTAAAATGTAGTCTGCAAGTTGTCTAGTCCACGTAAGGCGTTCTCCCAGTCTCTCTTGGTCAATTCACCTCAGTAACGTATCTGTTTGGCCGCGCGGAATAATGAGGCCTTGGAAATTGGCAAGCCTGCGAGCAAGCTCTCCAATAATAGCGAGTGAAGCGCACTCGCGTCTCCTTCGCGTGCAGTCCTCGCGTAAATTCTCGCGATTCCCCCAAAATGCAGAACTTGTTCGCAGGCTAATCCCAAATGTTGCCTGTGGCAAAAACAGGTTGGTCACCAATATTGAAGGCCAAATTACTAATATTCTCTAAAAGTTAAAATTACAAGCAAACGTAATAAACTCCATTATACGATATACTTAATATTTACGTACGTCTCTAAACGAGACTGCAAAACAGTTGTCTTTTTTCTGTCTTAAACTTGCTTCTCTAAAGGCGTGAGACACCAAAACTGCGGATCATGCGCTCTTCACTTCTCTTTTATACACTTCTTCCTGATACTTGATTCTGTGGCCCTTATTGCTAGTGGACCTTGTGACAAAACTTTTGCTTATGGAAAAGACGACAGCAGTTGGATTTGCAAAGACTTCAAATGCTCCAGTGCAGGCACAAGCAAGTGTTTACTACTTCCTACAACTTTGACTTTAAAAGCAAAAGAAGCATATGGAGACTAGAAAATACAAGGGAAAAAATGTCTATCAAATGCTAGGCGACCGACAGGTTCTCCAAGTTCAGAGACGACGACCCATAATAATTTTGTATTTGAGTTCGTATTAATCTTTATATTAAATTTGGCAATGCAAAAAAACAAACAAACAAACAAAAAAACACTGTTTAACTTTTGCAGTCTTGGGATAACTCTGCGGGGAAGTAACATCTTATTTTTCAATAATGCCCACATTTCTGCAGTCAGTGAAGTGCACACAAGTCACCATGGTCTGTTGGTCACCTCTGGTCAGTTGAGTTGACTATGACAATTTCAATCTGTTATAGAATGTTAAAGAAAATTTTTCTCAAAATGTAGCAGGGACGGATCCAGGATTTTTTTTAGGAGGGGGTGCACTCGTCTCTTGCGCTACTTCAACACTAATAAACCACATAGTTTTTTTTTTGCAGAATACCAGTTGTATTAGAAAACCGCAGGTCATCTCAGGGGGAGGGGGGGGTGCACACCCCCTGCACCCTCCCCCTAGATCCGCCCCTGTGTAGGACTTTGTTAAATGTACAAGTGTAATAAAGCTGTAAAAAAGACCGCCCAGATTTTCTGTTTAAAATGATACATGATGATGACGATGATGATGATGGTGATGATGACTTTTATGTGAGTCGATCCTGTTCAAACTTGATGTGAATGGACAACCTGGGGAACACATTTGTTCATTTCAACCACCCTTGACTGAACGTGACTGTGACTCACACATACTGCTTCTACCCTTTACTCAACAGTGATGGCAATAGGCGGAAGGGATTTTTAACATGCCCATTCGAAAACAGTATTGAGTGAGTTGCACTTTCTGAGTTTTGTGGACTAAATATAAACACAAATAAATCGGAATTAACAAAATGATTTCTTCCCAGCTATTGGAATTTCACATTGAAAATTTTAGATTCATCAGTATTTTTGACAAGGCTTCTGGAAGTCAACGAGAAAAGGAAATTAATTAATTAAAAAAAGGAATTGTGCACAGCAGGCCAAGTTCCCTGTCAATAAAGTCAAAAAATCCAACTTTGGTCTGAGGGAGGGGTATGAGCCTGGTTTTTGTTGTTCTTAAAAATATTGTCCCACTATGAAAGAAGGTATCTCAACGAAGTTGTTGAAAATGGAAGCTTCTGACCTATTTTACACAACACTTTTTTTACTATACAGATATTTTGAGAAGGGTTGTCAGAAAAAGTGCATGCGACAATCCTGAAAGGTATTGTGGGTGGTTTTGAGTTCACTGTTCTTCAAGGAAATTTGAAAGAATGGCACAAGAGGAAATGGACATATGTTTGCGAGTGCTAAAGGAAAGCAACAAAAGTAGGTTCAACAGCTACAGTATCAGAAACAATATATTGATCATATATCATATTGCTGTTTGGGATTGTCGCGTGCACATTTTTTCTGACAACTTTTCTTGAAATAGCGGTATACCGTATGAGCACAACTCCCTGTGGGTGATCAGATAAAAGGAATTCAATGGTTATACAGGCAGTAGAAACTGAATAAAATTCATGAAAGGATACAACTCGAAGTCCTCTCTCCATAGGGTTAACTATCATCAGTCCTCGCGGAACAAACACACTTTGGTTCTGCTCATTTACATATTCTGCTAGTCTTTTCAAACACTGCAAGGAAAGAAAAAATGTGTTTTAGCTTTTCATATGTTATGTAATCTTTCTTATAAGCAACTCCCTTTTTTAAACCTGGTTTTGTCCTGGTTGTTCAAATGTTGGATAGTATTACACACTGGATAAACCACCATCCATTTGATAAGTATATGTATTAAGAAAACTAATCAAGTCATCCTCTGAATAGAGATTTACCCAGTGGAAAGCATTATCCATCTTTTGAACATCTATTATCTTGATGTTCTCCTTGCCATTGATGTCAGAATTTCCTAAGCTCCCTTTTGTTACTGTTTGAGTGTTGTTACCTTGTTGTACTGTGTCTGGATACACATGAAAATAAGGTATGCTGTTATGCAGCCCAAACAGCCTTCAAGGTATGTTCGTGCACCAACCCTTTCAGCTTCATCAAAGATGCCGTTAATGTGGTTTACTGTTTGTTCAAATTGACTTCGTTCAAGCTGCAACATGAAATGTAATGTAGAGAGTGAGAACAGTACAAGGATACATGTACACTGAACATTACAGTGGTTACTGTGTCTAGAATTCACATGACCAATGCACATCCGAATTATAACAAAAGTCATGCGCTTTTAAACCCTACTCCTGATGAACATTCTGTAAATTTTTTACCTACGCTGAAATCTAATATACTAGATTTAGGCAAGCCTAAAAGCAGAGCTCCTGTTCAATAAGAAACTGTGGCCATAAGTTCAGTTATTACACAAACATAATGTGTTGCATTGTCATGCTTGTTTACCGAAAGGCCTCTGAGGGGGCTTATCACCTGAGTGCTATAGAAAAAGCACTTTGAACAAAGCTATAGCAGTGCTTATCAAAATATGTTCTGCATTTATCGTTTTTTTAATTTACCGTATTTATTCAGCTATAAGCAGAGCAATTTTTACACAATTAAAACTTCAGCTTTAATTTCACTTAAAAGTGAAATTTGAGCCCAAGAGGGGTTCTCGGCTTTTAAAAAAAATATCTTTTTCAGTGCATTGAAACTGACTACTAAATGGTTATGTATTCACCTATAAGCTGAGGAGATAGCAGCAAAAGATCGAATTGATTGCGTAATTACAAACCTGGCCCCAGTTGTTCAAAAGGTGGATAGTGCTATTGACCGGATAAATTGATATCCAGTGGATGGTGCCATTGGTTTTCCTAATATTATTATTATCCACTAGATAGTGATTTATCCGATGGATAGCGCTATCCAACCAGGGTATGCCAAGTATGTCCGATTGTCCGGTACAGGTAGAAATATAGTTCGGACATGTAAACCTTTGGCATGACTTGTCCGTGGGACAAGCACGTTTTTATTTAGAAAAAAATAAAGAAACAGTTGAAAATTGTCTTCAAATTATGGTAGAAGTAACATTCATCTTAACAGTCATAAAAGCAAACCTCAGGCTTGACAAAATAAGTTTAAATATTCCTTTGAACTTTGCCATTTCATGGTCATTTCATTTGTTTTTACCAGCTCCATTTTAGTTTTAAGTCAAAAACAATTTACAAGGGAAATAGTGTGATTAAAAACATTAAATGCCTGATTGTTTTTGAGTTTCGAACTAAACTTTTTGGACATGAAGAACTCTTGGGTTTCGGACAACCAAATTTAATACAGTGCTTGTCCAAAGAACAAATGGATAGGGACATTTTTCTCTTACTGTGCCAATGTTTAAACAACCTGGACCTGATTGATAAGTTAGCTAAGAACAGAAATTCACTCCCAAATTGTCAAAATGTCCAACAAAAACAGGGCTCACAATTAAAATTACACATTGTTAAGCCTTTAAAAAACAAGGGAAGCTCTAAAACAAATGAAAGATGTCAAGAAATGTGAACAGAATTCGGCATGTTAGATGTATGGTCAAACACGTGCTTCGCAACATTTGCCTGGTTTAAATGAAAAGTGATTCCAGTGACCATTTCAAGCATAATGCGATGAAGACATGAGGAAAGATTGATAGCAGCCATTTAAAACCTAAACAACAATAAATTGTTTAAAACTTTGATCATGTAAGACATTTATGTCGTTTGGTCAACCCGTTAAGATTTCAAACCATTCGGAAAATCAAGCCAATCCGTTCAATTGCTTTCCAAAGCCGTTAGAAATTTTTGCCCATCCATTAAAAGTGTTCATCAAACCATTAAAAATGCTTTGAAAAGCTGTTTATCAGCCGTTACTTTTTGCCTGTTTAACGAAAATGCATTAAGGTACATTTTCCTGGACAAGGAAACTGTTACTAACGTTTTACTGTAGTTAACAAATGGGTCTCGGCTTATAGGTGGGTGTTTTAGATTCATTTTTCATTCTTGGGGCTATGAAATAAGTGGCAGTTCATGGTATACCCTTTCTAGGCATCAAAGACATAACAATTTGCATGATATCTTTTTTGATAGTGCTAATTATCATAGCTCTAAGTTAGAAAACAACTCGTTGGCCCCAAAGTCTGTAGTTCCCTACCTCCTAATTTTCAAAACATATCAAAATTTGCCTTCAACAACAAAACTGTAATGCATCCTTGAGATTTCATTAAAGAACAATGACTACCTTCATCCTACCCAGATTATAAATGAATAACAATTCATTTATAATATAAAGCTTTTTAAGAGTAACTCCAGGTTACATACAGAAGCAACAACCCAAAATGCAAAAACTGAGTGGTTGCTTACAGGACGTGGTCGTTTACAAGAATCGAACCACAAGGGGCATTTTCTGAGAAGAGGTCCAGGCACATCTACTTTATGGAAGATAACTTATTGCAAGCAATGCCTAAGTTACGACATGTGTAGTTTCATGCTGTTACTAAATTAATATATTCATATGTTCTAAGTAGAATAGTGCACAAAGTGAGAATAGAGATCAGAGAATGCCTCAAGTGGTCACCCCTTACAAGAGGTTAAAAACAATGGAAAATCATTAACCGTCAGGCCCAAAAAGTGGTAGCAGTTACTTACAGGACGTGGTTGTTTATTTACTAGAGGCTTTGATTGGGAAAATTTTGATGTTTTGGATTGGTGGTCATTTATGGGAGGTAGTCGTATATGAGAGGTGGTTGCACATGCACACAGGAAAAAATAACAGACTCCCATTTTTGGATATTTTAGGGTATTTAAAGAATACCCACAAAAATCCCAAATTTGGAAGAGTGAGACAAGTCCCAAGCAGGGAACTTGGTAGGGAATTCCCTGGTTGGGACTTGTCTCACTTTGCCAAATTTGGGATTTTTGTGGGTACTCTTTTAAGGTATCAGCCACCCTTAAAATTGCCATTTTTCCATATTTGAGGTTTCAATGTTTTCAAATAGATATGCGTGAGAGCCTTCTTTTAAAAAAAAAATCAGAAGCAAATATTATTTCTGTCGAAAGATATCGGGGGTAAAAGATTTTTTCTCGTTAATTATCTTAATTGATCGTTAACAAGATCTGTCATACCCGTGTCATATATCAATTAACTTGCATTTGAACTAGTAACGTGATACCGAGTGCGTGCTTCGACACAACACGTGCGAATTGTCTTCGCGTTGTTTATAGCCTTTAGTATTCTCCGTGGATATTTAGCGTTTGTTTCGGTGAAAATGCCGCCAAAAAAAAGAAAAGGTCGTGTCCGTTTTCGTCATCGAAACCGAGAACGAAAAAGAAATCGAGGAGCGAGTTTGACAAAGAATGGGCCGCAAAATTGGCAGAGAGCGACAAAGGCTCATTTTATCAGCAAGAGAAGTGGCTCGAGGAGTTGGATATTCAGAAAAGCGAAAATGCTGCAGTTGTTGAGAGTGCAAGCCGCTCCAAAATCCAGCTTGAACAACCAGATGAAGAAAGCCAATTAAGCTCATCGACCCCATCTGCTGATGGAACGTGGAAAACAATAAGCGGTCGAGCTATCGTATTGAGCGAAAAGCTGCTTGAGAAACTGGACGAGTCTGTATCTTGTCGATTTTGCCAGGGAAGAGTCCAAGTCATGGAAAATGTAGCGACTAAGCATGGACTTGGTTCTACCTGGAGAATCCAGTGCGAGAATGAAAGCTGGCTGTCGCACAAGACAAATTCTGTTTTTAATTCTTCCGAGAAGAGCAGAGCGTTTGAAAAAACCGGGCCTCAGTTCTTGGCCTTCGAGCAATAATATTATTGGTGGTGGGCATTCGACGGCTTCAAAGTTTTTTAGTTTCCTTGGCCTGGCGCTCGAGAAAGAATTAAACCGTGCTTCTCGTGGTGTAAAAGAGTGGAAGTTTTCCAACGGAGAATTAAACTGTTCACTTGAAGATGTTGATAGCAATAAAAAGTTTGTTCCTGTTACATGTTACCTGTCAAAGTCCTATTGTTAGAGAAAATTGATCCCTCTCTGATATCAATCAGAATAAACATTTAGGTGTTATAATCTCATTCCAGGTGGGATGCCGCCAAAAATGTATTTTCTATTTTATCTCCGAACGCAAATTTTGCTGATCGACTCGTACGTTTTGAACTCCAAGTCGGCAGCCTTTCAATCAATTTGGCTAAAATTTGGCCAGAGTGATGCCATATATCTCTTCTACAAAACCGTGTCTGAGAATTTTAATACTCCTTTTCATTTTCAAGCTAGAGCTTTTTTTACACAGAGAGTGTTGACTAATTGCCTTCCCCAACTTCATTTGCTAATAAAAGAAAAACAAACGCACTTGTCAAAAATCTGAGACATGGTTTTTTAGTGGAACGTGTTGAGAAGAGAATACGGTGTTAATTGCTTTCTTCCGTTTATTTCCGACGGGAGTGGAACATGATTTATAGAGACGTGTACTTTTACACAAAGCGTTCCAATTTCGAAACACATTTAAGTAAATCGTTTTTGTTAGTTCAAATCCATATTTTGGAATTATTAAGCTTTTAAAAAGTATATGGCTTATAGGGGTTTTTATAAAAACAACTAACTCTACAGCGATACGCGTGCGGACTGTCCTGAAGGGTGGCTGATACCTTAAATACCCTAAAATATCCAATATTGAGAATCTATTATTTTTTCCTCTGTGGAGGTTTGACTGTATTTAGAGACTATTGAATAATGCTAAGTATGATGAGAAAATTATGCCGATAGAGAAGGATGCTAATGCCATGGTGGATAGCAGCCTCAATAGCTTCTGTTGTTTGGCGTGGTTTCTGTAACAGACTGAGGCTGTGCCCTGCCAATGCATATCTTGTAGGTTTCTGTGGCGAACTTTGGTGCAGTATCCAGTAAAGTGTAGACAATGCCATAGTGTAAAGATGGCACTGCCCATATTGTAATACAGAAGTTGTATAAAATAAATTTCGATAAGTCGGTTTTAAGGATGGTTGCAAGTCACTTGAAACTTTCTTGAATCGTTTCATTCAACTTTCCGAGTTTAATGAGATGCAAAGTAAAGTTACTTGAGATTTTACTTAAGCCTTCACACAAGCATTTTTGGTTAAGTAAAACTTAGCAGCTCTTACGTCTTACTTAACAGCCTAGTGTAAAGACAACCATTGTTTGAAAGATTACAAATTAAGTTAAGAAAAACAAAACGAAACAAAACAAAACAAATGTCCACTTGAGGCCACCCCAAGCATGTTTCTTTTGCTTAAAAGAGATAACTACACAGTACATTAACCATTCACAACTACAGAGAAACCGGACTAAAACAAATAACTCGAGCACTGCTTTGTTTACACACAATATATTGTAACACCATGCAAGATTGAAACTTCGCCTAAGGGTACACAGTTACTACCATATCTCTGTAATTCCAAACAAGCGATTTCAGTCGAATTGGCGCAAACGTGTTACAAGGACGTTAGTCGATCTCCTTATTCATCTTCGAGTCGAATTCCAAGCAATCTATGACCAAAAATTACAAATAAAGCTTAGGTTCAAACAACCTTGATCAAACGACCCCAAAGCGGAAGACATTCTTAGGCCAGGAAGACACGAAAACGCCAAATTTTTCTTCATTTACGAAAGGAGCTAATCTATCTACGACTCTCACCTTTCCTTCTAACTCGGGGGGAAATTTCGTTTGAAAGCGACACGCTGTTCCACGCGAGTAATCCCTTTGGACGAAAACTTTGACATTTCGCCTGGAAGCATCGTCATTCTGTACCTATAAAGATAAATAAATAAACTATTTGGTTTCAAAAGGAGTTAAACAAATCTCCGATAACACATTGGGTTCGTTTTGAGATACGAAATCGGCAATAAGAGTCGATGTTTTTCTAAGAAATGGGAAAGTTCTCGCCAAGCCCAACCTGTGCGGTCGCCATCTTGACTCCTCGTCCAGTCTAGTTCCAGACCTCTGACAAAATCTACCGAAATTGATCACCGGCTCATTTGATTTGCAGACAACAAGCCAACAAGAGAAATTTACAAGTTCAAATGACTGAGCAAGATTTCGTTTCGGTACATTGAAGGCGCAGCGGATCGAAGCACCAAAGAACCATGCACGTCCTTAAAGATAAGTTTCACCGTAAGTATAGCTACTGTAGCTAGTTATCCTTTGTTCTATCTGTGCTGCAGTACGGAGAATAATTAGTCATGATTAGTATGTTCTTATCGTTGTTTACTTTTTTCGTACGTGCATGCTCTTTCGATCGACGGGTCGATATTAAATTTTAACATTAAAATTTCGCCTGCTCTTTAAAAGATCAATCCTTATACGCTTGGAATATATTAATAGGCTGAAAGCTCTACGTCGGATCTGGTGATCGAAGAATGGGGACAAATTACAAACTTTTGTACGTTTGTTCATCGGTGTACAAGAACATCGATTCTTGTGCGCTTTATACAAGAAAGTACTTGCGCATTTGATAGCCTGACTGCGATGTTAATTCGTAGTAAGCTCCATTGGCTTATCGCAACTTCTGATTGATAAAAAATTTCACAAACGATTTTAAATAGAAGTCAACTCTCAGTTTGTACAGCGGTGTGATACTCACAAAACTCCATGCTGCCGTCATTGAATATTGACTTCGGATAATTATTTATCAGCCTCCCTCTGTGCCTTTCAGATCATAATTCAAAATAGCCTTGATTCAGACGGATTTTTGTTTAAAACCAGACACGGCTAGTTGAAAATTTGAGATAATAAAGACTGCTCTACAGCGATGATCAGGAAAGGATAAAATAATCATGCTGTAAATCATTGATATCGCTTCACGCTGAATTTTAAAAATTTAATTGACTCATGCTGTTTGATATTTCAATTACTAACTCACGATGTCTGCAAACAGTTGCTGGATTTGTATATTTAACCTATTAGAAAGTAACTAGCACCTGATGTGCTGATCAAGTGTTCTCGAGTAAGGAGCAAATTTGAACTGAAAAACAGCCCTTTTTGGTCGTAATCCTTCTGTAAACAGATCAACATACAAGGGCATACAGCCAACAATACGATAAAAACACAGAGCGTCACGGTTGTGCGATTGCAGTAAAAATATCTTCACCCCGATGATCATAATAAGGCAATCGTCCATGCTACAACTTCGCACTAGATATCGATATAGATTTAGGCTGTCAAGATACAGAAAACTCGCCTCACGGAAAAATTCTGTAACTGCATATGCCCTAGCCCTACCCCCTCAACAAGAAACCCTCGTTTTGTAGGCGTGTTGGGAGTGGTAGAGGTCAAGCACAGGAAAAAATAACAGATTCCCAATATTGGATATTTTAGAGTATTTAAAGAATACCCACAAAAAGCCCAAATTTGGCAAAGTGATGAGACAAGTCCCAACCAGGCAATTCCCAACCAAGTTGCCTGGTTGGGACTTGTCTTACTCTTCCAAATTTGCGATTTTTGTGGGTATTTTTTAAATACCCCAAAATATCCAAAAATGGGAATCTGTTATTTTTCCCGTGAAGGAGGGCTAGTCTGAAAGTGCACAGCATAAATTTCTGAATAAATAAATAAATAAGTAAATAAACAAAAAGATCACTCATGACTAAGTAAAATCGCATTTCATTTGAACTTTTCCCGAAACATTTAAGTTCAAGTCTTAGTTTTGGAGCAAACTGCCACCCTAAAAATTTTCACATTTTCAGATTCCCACTTTTAAAGATCCCCGTTCAAAAAATTTCCCTTTTTAAAGATTCCCGCTTCTAAAGATTCCTGGTAATAAAGTTTCGCCCTTTTATAGATTCCCGCATTGAAAGATTTTCCATTTCAAAGATTACCGCTTTAAAAGATTCCTCGTCTCAGACTCCTGCTTCTAAAGTTTCCCGCTTTGAAAAATTCCCCATTTTTAAGATTCTTCGCTTTTTTTCCCGTTCCCCCTTTTCATGCTTCGATTCCGGCCATTTCCTCGTACATGATTGTAACCCGTTTTCAGGCAGCCGTTTTTAACCAACCTGGCTCTCCGTATTCTCTTCTACTACGTAGGAGAGAACCCTGGGAACATGTTTTTTGCCCTGGGCACCGGGCACCAGATATTTCATGTTTTCTTGCGAGTGGCCGGATGCTTCGGTATCGGCCGAGGGCCGAAGATGTGGGTCACTATGAAGACTTGAACAATATCGGAAATCGCACATGAAAAGTCTCTGGCTCTTAGGGTGGGCGTTGTTATACTCTTTTTTAATCATGACCTTTTGTTTACCTCAACACTCTGTCTTGCGGTCATCACGTGAATTGGAAAAGAAAAATGTGTTTTGAGTAGAAAAATTAACTGTAAATTGGGCGCGTAATTCTAAATGGTTTACCTAACCTACATGATCTCAAAGTTCTCAAGAAAAAGAAAACCCTCTCGAGGTAGGGTATGCATGTTTGACTTTCATTGCACTTTAATTTCACATTCCAATGCGAATCAGTCTTTTTTCATATATGCGATTTTAAATCCATGCCATTTCTGCTAATAAGTAAATTCGGGATAACAAACAGCCCAAAGAAGTTTGTTATTCCGTGTCTGGTGTCTAGCTATTCCATGACGTGGAAACGTCTCGAGCGGCTTCGCTCATGGATCATTGGTTGGTTTTGGAGTTGATATTTTTATCGCGCGAAAGTGAAAACAATTGAAAGTCTGCGATAGAGGCGTCATGAAGCTGTCGCATAGTTTTTACACCGAGTTTTCTAAGGTTTATCCTTAAAATCCAATTTTAATCTCCTCCATGCATATTCATCCAGAAGCAAATTGTGTTACCCATATAAACGGATATGTGTCAATGAAATATTTTTTTTACGCTTTCGACCCAAATTTTATACGTCGCGAAGTGCTTTCTCAGCTCTAAACACAGGGAGGAGGAGTGTAGTTTGGAGTGATTAAGCAATAAATAATTCTTACCTCTTTGATTACCGTTATCTGTTTCTTCTTCCATAAATTACCCTCGTACAATTCGTGGGAAGTCATTTGTTAGGGTTCACCGCTAAACAATCCTTTCGATCATGACTTTCGTTCACTACTATTTTCGGAAACACAACGACCGCTGAATAAAGCGCTCATGGACTCTCAAGTTACTTAAGCTTTGCTTAGAGTAATATTAGAATGCGGAAAGGGGAGGAAACAAGCTGTTCTGCGAATTCCTGCAGCTCAGATAGAATTCAAAGAAATGGCCTGATTTTAACACGTAGGGGCTTATATGGTTCGTGTGGATCACGTGACTCACGGTTTACAGTATGACCGTTCGAAAGCATCGGGGATACTTAGGTCTCTTTGTTCTTTGCTATTTTGTTATCACAGTTTATTGGTCTTTGTTAAAATAACAAGATTTGGATACCGTCATTATTATAAAAGTTTCTTTACAGTATGTACTTACAAGCTCGTTCCCAGTGCTCTTCCGGCTCTCAGGCTATGTGGTACTAGGAAGCTGTAGCCTGTTCCAAGCGTTCAGATAGTGGAGAGCGGTGCGAAGTAAAGAAACACTGAGGGAGCTGCGACACTGATAACCAAACGATTCCACAAAACAAAATTTGGGGCTGTTTTCACTTTCACTTTTTGGTCTTTGCGGTGGGCTATTACGACATTTTTCAATCGCGGCATCTAATAGGCCATTTGCACTATGAGGCCCAGGTGACATCGTTTTTATTAAAATGAACGTTATATGATTTTGCCTTCGAAAAACGATTAGTGGGTCATATCTTAAACAAAATAATTGTGATTTGGTTTTTCAAACCCGCACCATTTTCTTAGAATGAGTAAGTTCGTAGCTGGTCACGTGACCAAAATGAGATTTTTAAAACTGTATAAATTACCTCTTTCTGAACACAAATTTTGCACTTAAACTTCAAGGAAAATGTTTGAAAAGATGATGTGTTAAAGTTTACAGCACATCTGAGCGTAACTATCAAACTTTTAACAAGATATAAGCAAAAAGTAGTTTTGGCCGCCATGTTGGAGGGCAAGAGTATGCCCTCCAACATGGCGACCAATACAAATCATACTATTTTGTTGAAAAAACCAATTGCCATAAAATATCTTCCTTAAATGCGTTTCCTCTCAAATTTTGGGTATAAGATAATTTTTATTTGCTCTGTCAATTTTTGGCATCAGCAAGAGTCCAACTCATTGTTTAAAGGAAGCATTGGTCACGTGACATCTTAGTGCAAGTGGCCTATTTTTTAAAGCTCGGTCTGCTGTTTAACATACGAGTGCGCGTTGGATATGAGTTGGCTATAATCATCTCATATTCAACAAGCCTGAGTGGAATAATTTTTTTTATTAAAAACGCCAACAAAATATCAAGAATTCTTCCCGACTTTATTTGTAGAAACAACCGATTTCAGCTTGTCTTTAATTTAGAGCAGACGCGTACAGTTACCATATTTGGAGAGCATGATAATGGCTCATATACCGTGAATGCTAAGCTAGCCATCGGAGCTCTAGAATTGTATTATCCAATGATTCTGTTTTTAATAACACTCATCCGATAATATTATCAGAATCTCGTGTTGTTTATCCCATAATACACGGACTCATACCCAGCCCCCTCGGTTTGAAATTAGGCAATTTTCAGGGCTGAGAATGACAGTTTTTAATTGCAGACATTGGACATCACCACAGTTTTAAGCATGGCCACGGAGATAAACGAAACGGATCCAAGAATAAAGAAAAAGATAAAGAAGATGCAAAGAAATCGGGTAAGAACTGGAAAATGCAGCAGCTATAGTTTAGTTGTGTCCTCAACCCGGCTTTGGCTCATTCCCAGGCAGACTTGCCAGCTCGCGGCTCTCCGGACCACGCGCGCATTTGTAGGCAGCCTGCTTGCTAAGCCCATGGAGATTAAAAAGACTTTCTAAACTACCGTAAAATTCCGAAAATAAGCCCCGGGGCTTATATATTTCAAAGGCCCTTTTTGAGGGGCTTATTTTTGGAGGGGCTTATATTCGGAGGGGCTTATCGACGTAGGGAAATTTGCGTTTCAAAATCGATTGGGCTAGCCTTATAGTTGGAAGTAAATTTACCGTTTTTGCTTTATTTTACTTTGTATTTGAGGGCAATTTTTCAAGCCCGGGGCTTATATTTGGAGGGGCCGAGTTAACGGAGGGATTTTGCGTTACTGGTTTGGGGGGCTTATATTTGGAGGGGCTTATACATGGAGGGCTTATTTTCGTAATTTTACGGTATTTATTTTATTCAGACCTAAGAAAGATAGATAGATAGATAGATAGATAGATAGATAACTTTATTTAAACACGGTTAAGATTCCTTCAGCATGTACAAAAAAAAAAAAAAAAAAAAATCTAA